TCTGAGTGTATGCGAGGTTAGGTTGTCCACACTGACCACCGAAGTCCAAAATCCCAAAATCATTCAAAATACCCAATGGCGCACACATGGGAATCTCAAAGAAACTCATGGTGGAGGACCAGGAACTGTTCAAAGGTGGGATTCATCCCATTCCTTGGATTCTTTGCCAAGCTTCTCCTGGTAAACTGCAGCTTGCACCGCTGCAGGCATCCTGCCTGGCGGGAAAAATGCCGTCGACCGCCTTCGTTGCTACGAGGCACGGAGGATCTTGGGCGACTGAGAGTTGTACAGTGGGTTCAGAGTAGATGGCACAATCCCCAAGAGGTGGTCTATATGAACCCCCATCTAAAGGACATGTAGGGGTTTGCGCCATCTACTCTGAAACCACTGTACAGCAAATAAATAGTGTCTCGTTGATGACATGTTCGGGCGGCTTCAGGCCGGTCTTTTGGGGTGCCATGACCGGTTGGAAGCTATTTGGAGAAGTAACGGACTGCCGGGATGCTGATAAACCCAGAAAAAAAGCACCAAGTACTGCCTTTCAGCAACTGTATCCAATTCTACTGACCCAGTCAGTACAATTTTCCTACTTGTTCCTAGTGCTTATTGGTAGGCTTGGAAGAATAGTAACCCGGTCCCACCTGTGTGCATTGAATTAAAACCCCTTCTCACACCAGTGATCTTCTGAATGACATTCAGCTGTGCACCCCCACTCCAGATTCGATCCCCCGAGCTGCCTTCGTCCCACCGCGATGGAGACAAAAAGACCGCAGAGAAGCGGACACCGGGCAACGACGCGAAAACTGCTGGCTTGGGATTGAGGATAGAGACCATATGATTTCCTAGTGCTGCGACTGAAGTGTATTTCCCAGCATCTTCATCACGGGCTAGGTGAGAACCAGTCGCTGGCCGTTGCATCCAACAAGAAGCATGATTCTGATTTCTGCATGACTCGATTGCTTCAACTGATTCTTTTCCTGAAGTTGCTGTCGATGTTTTTGCCGGTCTGCTTAAAACATCTGTGGGCGGGTGCCCTGCCAACCAAGCCTCAGGTGCTACGTTTCACGCTTTCGCGACGAGGAAAGCAGCAACCAGTCATCTCCATTCATCTTGATTGCCAATTTATTACTGTTCACTCTTACAATCCTGCGACTGGGGCAGTGCCAAGTGATTCGCAGTGTCATGAAGACATGACGAGGACAAAGGTTCAAAGTTCAAAGTCATCAACCGGAAATTGAAAGGTGTAAGGATGTAACTACCCTGGTCAACAGGCTGCTTAGCTTATACTTCATGACATCATCTTTCATTCACAACTTGGCAGAAGATGCTACTCGGCGTCCAAAACATGTCTAGCAGCGATCAGTATATTATAGAATATCGCTACCTTTCACAAAAGGCTCAAAGAAACTGAGAAGGTCATGCTGGTTTCAACATCTTCGTCAGCTTCGCAGCTTCGACCTCTTTCTGGCACCGTGCTGTTCCAACTCACGGCCGCGGTATCACGGCCCAATCTGTGGCCCAATCGAGGTTTGGCTTGTGCAAACACACCCAGGTTGAGTGATCGTTTCGCTTGTCTTCCCTTTCGGTCCGATGCACTGCCAGAAGCCACCCTTGATGTCCTTTTGAACCTGACACCAGCTCCAAGTGGACAGTTCCGTCTTGCGATCCAGGCTTTTCTCTCCAAACTGCGGCCTTGTTCTTATCCTTGTGCACCATCATGCGACACGAACTTTGGTTGCGCGCTGCATCAGACTGGACGGCCAGGTACCAGCCAGCAGGCTGCTTCCAAGCATCTGGTGTTTTCACCTTTAAAATGAAACAACTTGCAGTCATCTCCATTTCCCACTCCTGCTTTGGAGCAGAGCGGGCAGAGCCATCAGGGCGCTGCCACTGCAAAGCATGGACCAAAGCCCTGCTGGATTTCTGACTAAGACAATCCCTGTCTTCGCATCGTACAGCATACAACTGCCAGCCCGCTTCCTGGCCGTGTTGTTTGCAGGCTGTTTGGAGCTGCACCGTCTTCGTGGTGAAGGTGGAGGAAAGAAGTTGTTTCATGAAAGAGCCATTGGCTGTCAAATATTCTTTCTTCCAACCAGCCACAGGGCTGTCGGGTTTCAACGCAGAATGGCTTTCACCCTCCTTGTCACACACGTTCCACATGACATGGCCAATCTGATGCAAGTTCAGGAAGTGTAGCCAGTCTCGGCTCCAGGCTTCCCGAACTGGCTTCGTCCCATCGAACTTTCCAGTGCCCCATTCGGTGATGAAAACCGCTCCCATCGTTTCGAGAGCATGTGAGACCCGAGCTTTCATCGTTTGGAGATGATGAAAGGAATTCATGTACGCATGCATGCTGAAGCCAAGTCTATCGTCCTTGGGGTCAAGTTGGGAAATTGCTTCAACTGGAGCATCTGAAGACCAACTCGTCGTGGGGATCAGCACCAGGTTTTGGGAGTTGGCCCGGATCTGTTTCAAGACAGCCTTACTATATGTCACAATATTTGTCCATTCCGAGGGCCCGGGCGGCTCATTCCAGATTTCAAAAATCACATGAGGGTACTCACCATATTCTTGGGCAACAGCATCGAAGAACTCCAATGCTTTCTCCTGCACATGGTCATCTAGTTTGTGGAAGTGAAAATCTACTACGATATAAATGCCACAAACAATAGCAGCCAGCACCACATCTCTGACAGCTTGCAGGGCTCCGGCTGAGTCTGAGATGTAGCCACCCTCAGGAACAACGCCAATGGGCATTCGAATCACATTGACTTGCCAATCTTCCACAAGCCACTTGATGGTCTCGAAGCAGAAGAAGCGTCTCTTCCATTGATGCCAGAACAAAGACATCCCACGCAGCTGCACTGGAGAGTCTTCAAATTCTCCACAAATGCGATTGGAAGCAACTCGCAAGCGGCCGTACTGAGGCATTTCTGGAACCGCACTTGGGCCATACTGCAGGAGCATCCGGTAAATGTGCGTCTTGAATATTCCCAAGCTGCTGGCAACGGACAAGATTTTGTCGGGGTCATACTTGAACGAGGTGAGTTCCCACCAGTTTTCTTCGACCTTACTCCCTGCCATGGCGTTGCCAGGTTGTCGCATGTAAATATATTCCTCCTTGTCGGCGTCGCAAGGGATCACTTTCAATTGATTGTTCTTCTGCAGTGCTTTCAACACGGGAGTGTCTTCACCAACATTTTTGGATTCGTATCGATACTCTTCCTGGACTAGAACATCTTTTCGGCAGCACAAGGTCATTTCCCAACCCTCTTCACGGGGATGGAGCCGGTAGCAGCGAGGCAGTCGCTTGTTTTCCAGTGCCTTCGCATCAGTTTCATTGACGACAGCTGTCTTGTAGGTGCAAGCAACGGCAGTGTCGGAGGCCTCCTTGATTGCTTGAACTTGGTTCTTTACGCGGTCTTTGTGGTACAGGTCATCATCATCCCACACAACTACGTAGTCTCCGCTGCATGCATTGACACCTGTATTCCGCAGTTGACCCAGCGTCACGTTACTGTCTTCTCCTCTTTTGACAAATAGTGGTTTGACACTGAAATTCGGATGCCCAGGGCAATCGCTCAACTTCTTAAGGTACTCCTTCGTACTTATGTGCCAGGAATCATCCTCTTGGTCTGCCTGAATGTTGTGGACAATCACATGCTCAATCTCTTGCAGTTCGTCCTCTAGAAAGGATTGTTTCCGGGCTTGCTCTATGGTCAATTTCATGAAATCCCGGTTTCGGTTGGTCACCGTCAGAAGCGACACGCGCGTCCGTTCTGTCGACATGGCGCCGAGAATGCTTCGGAGAACTGAAGTTTCAGCAAAGCCCTCAGCGCGACTGAGAGTTGTACAGCAATTGTATGGTCCCTTGATGAAACCGACATGTTCGGGTCTGCAGGTTCTGGTTCGGCTTTGAGCGACCCAAGCCGTTATCGGTAGGGACGACCCACAGGTCGGGAACTTCAGCATATCTGATCCATTCCTAGTGTGAATGAGCTGACAGGAAGAATACCCAAACCGGCGTGTCCCGCAAGTTGGAGAAACCTTTCTTTTCACACCATTCTGGACATTCAGCTATTCCTTCCCCACAGGCCTTTGTCCTCCCACTGCCGCGGAGACAAAAACCAAAGAAAGACTGCTAGTTTGGGATCCAGGATATATAAATCTGATTTCATAGTAACTGAGTAACTCAGAATATGTAATGATGCCGATAAAAATGTTCCTGACGGTTGCCGTGCCACCTGAATCTGTTTGTTTGCTTGTGCACTTAGCTGCGGAAGCGCAGTTTGTCGGATGTCTGAATTCTCTCATGTCACTCATGTTTATTATTTTGCCAATGTACCTGATTGAGACGTGTGATGTTGCATGAATTTATCTCACGTCACATCGTCAGATCTGCCCCAACTATGCTGGGACACTTCGCTGTGTCTTCAGCATGACTCAAGCATACTCACACATTCACACATGGCAGAACTTCCACACCAAAATGGCAGGGAACAAGCGACAGGTGTTGATTCTGTTCCTTTTGGCTTCTCCGCTTCTCCATGAAGTCGCGATAGAGACAGTGGACCACCTCGGCCGAGTGCGGCACTGCGTCATGACCCCACTGAGTTCACATAAGACTTGCTGGCTCCCAGCTTGTCATCCAGATGTCGTGGACATGAAGACCTGCTTTAGAAGGATCTCAGCGGATAATCCCACATAGGGACGCGGAGCTGAAAATCAGAGTTGCTACAAATCTGTGAAGAAAAAGGGACGTCTTCCAAATGAACATATCTGACACATGTTGATTTGCAAAGGCAAAGAAGTTCCAGAGTCAAAGCTGCACCAAGCCTGTGCTGCCCTCACCTCCAACGGTTGCCTGGGCCTGGGCAGGCAGTTGGGTCATCGAGTTCCTACAAAAGTAATAGTGGATGATCTTGGTATGGGCCAACAAGGGCGGGTACCGCCTCTCACATGGTTTTAGAACTCTCTGTGCATTCCTACAAGGCTCAGTTTCTTTGACTCACGCACATCAACGTACAATTATTACATCTTTGGACAGCAGGCTGCTGGCGTGCTATACCCCTGAGCTTGCAGAAACCAAATCAAGGCAGCACCTCGCGCCCGCGCGTGGCTTGGATCAACCGATGCCTCCGGTAGAGGAAGCCACCGGTCCCTAAACCCACCAGCAGGATGCACGCGAGGATCCAGGTCCAAGGGACCAAACTACTGGACTTCTGCTTGGGATCCGGTTGATCCGGTTGATCTGGTTGATCAGGTTCAACCGGTTGATCTGGTTGATCAGGCTGATCAGGCTGCTCCGGTTGGTCAGATGTGGAAGTCGTGTCTCTGTCTGGTATGGTCGGATCGTCCACCGGCAGCAGAAGATTTTGTAAACCGTCCCAATTGGAGGGTCCAGGTCCCGGGAGCCCAAAGTTGAACAAGACCTTGAGGTTTTCAGTGCCCTTGGGCAGCTGCGAAGCGTCCACCATGACCTTCACCAGCTCCTCATGTTTTTTCGGGTTCCCTGTGATCTTTTGGAAGACGCTCGAGGTCGATGATCTTCACCAACTTGCCCCATTCTCCCCGGCCCTTGGGGATGATGGCTTGAATAACGGATTCATGAAGGTCATAATAACCCACATCCTTCAGGCAACCTGTGACCTCAGAGGGCAAGGTATCTTTGACCTTGACAGGAGGAAATACCTGATCAGTCGGTTTTGTTGGTTGGCTGGTGAACAGAACCTGATGCACATTCTGGCTGGAATTCACGAGCTTCAACTGCCAGTTGAAGATCTCCTTCACTGCCTGTGCGCAAGCGCCGGCCTCCACCTGAATCAAGGTTGGAACACTTGCTGCAAAAACACACACCATTCTAGGGGTCGTGTTGGGATCACAAGATCCTGTGTTGATTCCCATACTATACCTCTATCATTGGAAACAAAAACACAAATAACAGGCTTTGAGGCTTACCCTCTGAGGCACCTTGAACTGTCCATCTTCCTTATCCTGGCGATACCTCAAGGATCCGAGCGGAACATCTTTGATGGTCCCACTCTCGCCGTTCTTCGAATTCTTTGCCATGACGTCAACTGTTGCTGTTTTGGCCGTCGTCCACCCGTCAGTGTCCGAATAATATTTGCTATTGCCAAGGGGGAAGAGGACACAAGTGAGGTTCGCAACTTGCCCGGGCTTGATCTGCAAGCTGCCAATGCTCGCGGCACTGTTTGGTTGAAAGTGCTGAGTGTAGGTCAGCTTCCCACAGAAGGGCCCAGGTTCAATCGTGAGAAGATCAAACTTTGTTGCGTCCATGTCCTGGCAATTCACCAAGGCATGAAACGCATTGCTTGGCACTTCACTGGACTCAGCACGGTCTTTGCAAGTCAAATCGATGCCCATCGAGACGATCATGCAGCCAGTACTCTTGCCATTCACCTCCAGGTTTTGTGAGCTTCCTCTGTGGGTGCGAGAAAAACCCACCTTCTCCCAATCTTTCACGATGTCGCTGGAACTCAGCACCACAACGCAAAAAATGCAAATGATTTTCATGACCAAAGCCAAAATAGATCAATTGCACTGATGAGGGGTTTTGGGCCAAAAAGGCTACGGTCCAAGGACGAGTCTCCCACCAGCAAGCTGAATGTATGAGCCTGGCATCCCAGCAAGCCAGTTCTCTCAGCAAATGAGCCGAGGGCCACGCCGCAGCACCAGCTCAGCCGGACGAGCTCCTGAGCACCCATTTCAAAGGTTCTGGTGGAAGATGTGTTCCCTTAAAGCCATGAACCTTTGATATAACTTTGATCTCTCGAAGTGCTCAGCATTGCAGAAGATTCATGGAAGCTTGTCGCGTCCATTTTTCATATTTTTCATCCAAAGAATGCATTTAAATCTTCATGCGCCATTGGTACCATACACTGTTAGACAATCATCCAATGGGAATGTCACATTTGACATACTAACGATGAGATTAATCGGACAATCTGGCTAAATCCGGGCCAACCAATGTTTGCACACCTACCACACGTCAATCAAATACCAGCCCTCGTCTGCTTCGTTCCGGACCTGCGTTTGTCCAACAGCTGTGGGCCCAGGAGCACCGGGCAACGATGGTAATGAAATTGTAATTCATCAGTAGCAATTTCCCAGTAGCTCAGAAATTTCCATAAGGCCGATAAACATTGTTGCTGAAGGTTCTCGTGTCGAAGTAGCGTCTTTGCCATCTTCACTTAATCTGATTGTTGTTTGTGCTCTGGGCTGCGGAAGCGTAGCTTGTCACAAGATGGGAGAATTGTATACGATTTTGTTATTCAGTTTCCCTGGCTGTATTCTGGAGACGTAGAAAGTCATGAGATTCTCTCTTGCCACATCTTCTCCAATTCAGCATGACGCAAACACATTTAGGGTTAACTCGAACATCAAAATGCCAGGGATGACAAACTTTGATTATTTTACACTTGCCCATTGGGGGGGGTGCCCTATTTTGTATTCATATTCCAAACCAAATCGAAGCAGGATCTAGACCGACCACGCTGAACCTATTTGTTGCTTTTCTGCCGAGAACCGAGTTGTCAAATGAGTTTGATACTGTTGGCCACCACCATAACTGAGCTGCTGCCACACCAAAGCTCAGCATGCAAAAGGGATCAGACCAGGGTTTCAAAGAAAGAAGGTCCAATCTTCCCTCCGAAAAGAGGATCTACAGAAATCATTCATTTCACTGCAATGGATGAGTATGAAACCAATCCCCCTGTTTCTTGCTGGGAACCCCTACTCGAAGAAGTTGATTGAATGCATGGAGTCACGTATGCATTGAATGGAAGAGTGTTGCTTCATGCCAAGAACCAACACACATTTAAAAGAAAGGCACTGTCATGTGGGTGTGGATCAAAACATGGATCGCCAATGGCTGATGAGATCCGCTCTCATCCCCAATGGTCTGGCACTGAATAGATTGCGCGGGCTCATTTCACTGCTGAAGATCAATCACTGCCCAGCAGCCTCTTTGGCATCTCGGCCAAAGATGAATTCCTGTCTATACTTCGTCTAGATACAGATTTCCCCGCAACCCAAGAAGTCAAAGGCTCTCTCAAAGTCATCAGAACAGCGTTGTCAACGGCTGTCTCTCAGTGTCTTTGAAGTAACTGAAGCAAACCTCACAAACATACAACACTCAGGAGTTCCATGGTGCCGTGGTTCTTTCGCCGAAGTAAGTGGATCATGGGCGCTAAGTAAGTGGATCATGGGTGCTGATGGGCCAGGCTGATGGGAATATTCCACTCTTTTGGCAGACTATTCGCTATACATGTGTGTTCCGACTGTACAAGCAAACGCTTATGGCACTTTCGCCACATGCTCGAACTTATGCTCAAAGGTCGGCAGACAGTGTCAATTCCAGTTTGTTGGTGATTTCCTCTCGATAGTCGTAACTTCCCAATTGACCGAGTAGAATTAAACCAGTGTCAAAAAAAACAAATCTCAATACTCAACTCTCAATTGATTTTGTAAAAACCCAAACAGTATCATGCATATAATGCAAATCTACTTCAGACTTGACACAGCTGCAAAAAGCTTGCAAACAAAACTACTCGCACATTGCAGCATAATTTTGCACATCTACGCAGCTGCCAGGACCTGGACAAGCTATAGGTGGATGGCGACTGTCCGCTGCATGTGGAATCAAACTTCTTACAACGTTTTTGCATTGAATGTCAGTGATGTTCAAAAGGTACAACCTGGTGGAACAACACATACAACCAGGACCGCCTACTTTCCAATTAAGGGGTATCTTGAAGACCCGAGTTTGGTTTAAGGCTACTGCTCACGAGTCTTCAATATTTTCTGTATACTGCTTCCAAGAGTTGACTCGGCCAGGCCTCATCTGCGCAGCTGCTCCTTCCCAAACTTCAGCCATTCTGACACCTCAGCCGCCGACTCAGAAGGAAACCATAGAAACCATCAGCTGAGCTCGTGGTGGAATGTTTTTGTTCCGAGTGGAACCGATCAATGCCATCTCAAGGCTACAGTAAGTCCCCTCCCTGCCAAAACTGGGGTCTGGGGAGTTGTGTTCATTGAAGGAAACAACGCCCCTGATCGCTTTGTTTCGTCCTGAACCGCCGATCCGTGGCAGCTGCTGATTTCGCAGCAGGGTGTGGGTTATCCATTGTCATTGGGCTAAGAGGAAGAAGCTCAATGTGAGAGTTGTAGGGCGCACAAAAAGGAGAAGGCGATTGACAGCAAAAGAGCTGTCAATGTCAATCTGAAAGTTCCATTCGCAGACCGTCACTGGATGGCCTGCCAGAGCTGCCAAAGGATTTTCTATGGACATAAACATAATATATATAATATATGATAATACCAGGACCATCCATCCTGTCTGGGTGTCCGGACGACCCTACATGAACACTGGGATCTCCAGCCAGGACATGCAGACAGGATGGTCCAGGTATGTTGTTCCTGGTCCAATCTGGGTGACGCGTCTGTCACGCTCCAGAGCGACCCCACAGGGCGGCCCTCAGCATCCGGATAGTCAAGGTCAGCCTCAGCAAATCACCAAGCTCTGAACAAAAGCGCCACGAATGGCCAGCTCTGAGGTTGGAGGCCATCGCTCTTAGGTTGCAATCAATCCATCCCGCCGAGAATCATTATCATTTGTGGGGGCCCAACGTATCATATCCACATAAATTTAAGATGAAGAAAGCCAACTTTGCGGAAACAAACATATCCTTTTCGACCTGCTTGTACTAGTTAGTGTACAATCCCTCCTAGGATCCATACAACCTTGGTCTGATGCCATAGATGTGATCAACGGTTGTCAGTGTTCATATGCAGGCACCTATCACCTATCTAAGCACCATCATTCCAGGCACCTATCACCTGTCTTCACATGCCCGGTCTCGACTCAATGCGGGATTTCACCACTTGGCCACAGGTGGGTGACGAGTCGAGGACGAGGACGACGCGCGGCGAGATCTCAAAACGCCGCCAAAAGACGTTCAGGTAGGTGAACTTGTCAGTGCGATCGTCCAAAATGCGTCCGCACATCGTATCATACTTCACCTCCTTCTTCCTCAAAACGAAGGGACGGATCGTTTGTCACACACACACCAAACTCAAGACTCCGGCATAGATGGAAGACAAATCTAACTTTGATATCGAATCTTTCTCAGGCTTCTCCGTACTCCAATGTTTTGTCAGCTTACAACAAAGAAAACATGCTTGTAGAGGAAAGTTCCAAAGGCTTGATTCATGATTCCTAACGAACAAGAAACCGTGTAAAACTGTACAACTCTGTCCTTTGCTTGCACCTCACCCTACCCAATTATATAAGGGCCCCCTTCCCCCAAGATCCATGGTTTTTAATCATGCAGCATGTTGCTCAACTAAACAAACCAAGATCGTTTAAATCTTCATACTAGGGAAGACCGTCGGGGTGCGACATATCATATCTGCTAAGTCTAATTTAGCAGCAAAGTGAGCATTCCAGGCTCACTTGGCACGGATTTGCGACGTTGACTACACAAACACCTTCCATGGATATCTGCTTGTGCTTGGTTGACTACCATCTTGCCTTAAGCAAGATTCAACACATTGACAACCACGGCAAATCCCTATCTGAGCCCAGCACTGTTTCTGATCGACCTCTTTTCTCTGCTTCACCTCAGTCTCTCCAAAGGCTGATTGCAGCAATACGCAGAGACACGTAGCGATGTGTCGCCGCATGGCATTCTTCTCAACACATGCAGTCTCAAAATGTCCAGAGAAAGAACAGTCTTAGAAATGATGCAGGTCCATTCATGATGATTCACATGCATGTCCAAATGAACAGTTTTGGAAATGGACTCATGAAAAGTTTCATGTCATTCACTCATGCAGTCTTCATCCAAAATCGTGAATGACTTCCAAAATGCCATCATGAATGACTTCCAAAAGGCCAGTGCTCAACAAATCCCGCGAGGCGGTATCAGAGCAAAGGAGTTGGGGTGATATGGGGGAACGGTTCGTGTCCAACCTAAGATTGTCGTTTCCAGATGATCAAGTGATTCTTCTAAGTCATACATCTATTGTCGGCGTCCCTTTTCTTATAGTTCTTGGGCCACGGCAGCCTTTTCCCACAAACGCCGTGCCTCCTGGCAAACTAAGGCACGTTGGGATCTGGCAAGTTGATTCCAGTTAGTTGTGGACATATGTATACTGTATATATATATATGGCAAATCCACACTGCGTTGAAAATCATAATACCGTACATTACAAGTATATAGATCTGCTACTACTATTTGGAGCGATTTGGAGGGAGAATTGGCTGGGAATTACTAAAGAAAGCATCCGTTCCACTCTCAACTGGGAAGTCAAGACGTCAACAATCTCAGCACTACCTTGATAACCAGGAGGCACTTGCAAGAAAAATCAGAAAAGCAGTCTCCTGCGTCTCTGGCAACCTGCAATTAGTTCAAACATGAGGGTTCCTCTACCAAGTCGGTGCATCATGTTGGTGTGTTTTTCCGGTATAGTCCTTAGCAAAGATGTACCAAACAGGAGTCTTTCTATTTTGAGTATAAACATAACAATCCATATTAAGGCGCAACAATCGACTGCAGGCTTTAGAGG